TGCGTCCCCAGCCACCCGTCCCGCCCTGGCCAGCACAGCAAGGTTCACCTAGAGACTAGTGTGCGAAAGCCTGCGGGGCGAGACTGCTGCAGACCCGCTGCCTGACCCTCTCCCTGCCTGACCCTCAGAAAACTCATCCCAAAGCTCCTCCGAGCCCGGCGTCACTTACCGTGAATATGTTGGAGCGCCGCTTGGACTGCTTGCGGATGGGGGTGGGTGTGTTGGAGGCAGCGATGGTCTCAATCCGCAGCTCCCGCTGGCTGATGCTGGGTGTGGAGGGCACGGAGGAGGAGTAGTCACTGAAGGCTCCTCCACCATTGGTGGCCTAGGGCAGAAGGAGGTGGGACCGTCAGACAGAGACCGGCAGCCTTTTTGTAAGCTCCTTCCGCCTATGCAGCCTTGAGCACCGGGGGCACGGAAGCACAGCATGGGACTGGGACTGGGACATTCCACATCATGCACTGCTCCTGCCCAACGGGAGATCTTGGGAAAGCTGTTTCCCTTCTTTCTGCTTTAGTTTTCCTACTGGTAAAATGTTAAAATTCTGAAATCAACCATGAAGACCGGCAAATGGGCAGAGACACGTGAGTGGCTGTTGGCCCAGGGAAGCCCTTCCAGACCACGGAGTGGGGCAAAGGCACAGTGGCAGCAATGAACCACGCAGCCCGCAACAGCAGCAGCCGGCTCTCTTCTCGGAGGGGCACAGCTGGGGACACTCAGTGTGCTCCCTCTCCAAAACACAGGACCAGACCAGTTAACTCTAACCCTTGGACAGCTGCTGGTGAGAACCCTCCTCACATGAAGCTGCGAGACAGCCCAGAGCCTGCTTGACTCCAGGTCCCACTTGGTCCCATCCCTGTCTCACAACAGCAGCTACGATACCAACAGGGATGTGTGTCTCTACAACTCAAGCCCTCGCCTCTCCAGTGTCCTGGAGTGACGTACAGGATGTCACAAGCCAAGCTCACACTCTACATAAAACATATCTCTGCCACCGGTTTGAGGTTCACCAAGCAGACCCCAAGGGTGACACACACCTCTTGTGCCTGTGGACCACCGTGGCCTTGGCTGCAGTGGCCAAAGTCTGGAAACGTGTGGGACAACACGCTGCGTCTTCACTAACAACTCGCTCAACTCCAGGGAGAGGGGAAGATCTGACCACACTGTCTGTGCAACAGCTCAGTGATGCTTTTCTTTCAGACAAGGAGCTGCTCAATCCCACTCCTCTGACGCAAGCTCTGCAGGCAATGACCTGAAAATGAGCTTACAAGAGGTCCCAAGGAGCAACACCTGCACAAAAGCATTTCAGATCTGCAGCCCAGGACATCTTACTACGACGAGGCACGTGGCAGCCTGAGCTCCCTTTGGCAGCTCTGCTGATCTGCAAACAGTATTTCAAAAATACATGGAAGAAGCTGCTCCTGGAAGGCAGAAGAGCTCGGGCAGCCCTTGCAGGGAGCAGCTCACCTCCTCCCAGTTCACATGCTCACAGAGCAGCATCCGACAGCCCTGGCACTTCCTCCACTCCCACCTACTGCTTACAGCAGAAAATGCAGGCACCGTGGGATGAGGATCTGCAGAGGAGCTCAGCGAGAAAACACCCGTGTGAACCTGCTGGGCACAGTGGGATCTGAGCGGGATCTGAGCCTTAGTCTGAGACAAGCACTTAAGAAACATCAGAAGCATGAAAAAGGTTCACAGAAAGCCCAATCTCCTAGAAATGGTGCAACTTCTACGCAAGCTATGGACCATCTCATCTCTGATGAGAGATGGAGGAGAAGACACACAAGAGAAAACTGCTTTTAAGAGAGGAAAGAGCTGCCCAAGACTCCGCTCAACTTCTTCCTCTCTGAGGCAGAGCAAGTGACTTCTGACTGCGGGCAGCCAGGTGTGCGGCAGGGAAATCCTGCTCTGGAAGGACCCTGAGTTGGATCCCCTTCCCAGCCGCGTCTGGGGAGCTGACAGTTGCCTCTGGGCAGTTACAGTGCCTTGACCTGCCAGGCTCTCCCGGGCTCTGGAGCAGCTCCACAGTAGCCTGTCTGCAGCGTGGGACCTGCTGCCTCAAGTCAGAGCAGAACACCCATCCGCAGCGGGAGGTGAAGGCTGTGGGGAGGCACGCTGCCCTGATGGGATGTCCCTGAAGACCACCGTCTCCAGGTGGGTCTGGAAGACCCAAAACCCAGGCTGGAGATGTTGCTGGAGGGTTGCCTGAGCAGGGAAGAACTCAGCTGAAGTTACCCTGTAGTAACTCTTGGCACAAAAAGGCAGAGGCAGCACAAGGAGCGCAGTTTGGGAAGGGCTCTGAACTGAGGAGCGCGAGCGAACAGCAGCCACCGACTCAGCGTCTGCACCGGAACGGGGGAGAAGCCAGAGGAGAGGACAGACCATGAAGCGGAGGGCACGGCGAGCTCAGCGGGTGACGGGACACGGGCTTCCAGGAGGAAACGGGCAAACGCCCATCGCTTCAGTTGCCGAGACACGCGCTGACCGAGCTCTGCCGAACGCGCTGCGCCGGGCCAGGAAGCGCTCGTTACCGAGCACAGCTCAGCTGCGGTTTGTGCTTCATTTCACTTGCAAACTTTAAGTTTCCAGTCCTTTCATCTGCTCCCTTACTAAAGTCTTGGTAAGTGCACTGAAGGGCCCATGCAGAACCGCAGACTGAGGCTGTCGGGGTGAAGCCACGATGCTGGGCAGCCCCCAGCCAGGAGGGCAGCGGAGCAGGGCTGGGCATGGTCGGGCATCCCAGCAGAGGATCCCAAAGCCCCGGGGACTGCACAGTTCAAGGCTCAGCCCCGGGAGCCTGCGTGACCTCCTGGCAGCAGCTGGGAACAAGCTCCCTGGCAGAAAGACAAACTTCCATCCCACAGCAAACAGGCAACGGTGACTCATCCCACAGCCCCGGGTGCTCCCAAAGGCATCTCCCAGTCCCTGAAGGCAGATGGAGAAAGGGGCAGGAACAGTAAGGAAATGAGGTGGGATAACTCTGCAAGCCTTCACTGGCCCCAGAAGCTCCCACTCTCACCCTGCAGGCAAGGGACAGGCAGCAGCCAGAAGGGAGCAGGGTGGAAGCCAAGGCCAAGCTAAGAACAGGGCTCCCAAACCCACCCAACTTGCTCGCCCAGGGATGGGTGTGGGCAGGACACGGGCGAAGAGAGCCGAGGAGAGCCTGAGCCAGCAGGCAAGCACCAGCTTTCTGTGGGGCTGCCCTTCGGGGGATCTGAAGGGTCTGTTCAAACAGCGTCAGATTCACATCTCATGAGCTGCTGGGACAGACCTGGTGTCCCCAAGGCAGCGTGCAGGACTCTCAGGGTTGGCCCTGGCTCCTGCCATGCCAGAGGACCAGGGAGATGCTGAACACAGTGCTCAGGGTCACAGACGTGATGAGCATGTCTGGTGCACTCGTGAGTGTTGGTGGAAACCCTGACCATGGCTGACCTGTTACTAGAGCTCCCTTCCTCTCTGCCTTGATGGGAGCAGCATCCTCTGAGGGACCAGGCACCGCTGCAGAATAAGACCAAAAAACTCCAAAACTCCTAAAGACAGAAGTGAAAGCAGAGCCTTTGGCTGGTTCAGGAATTGTTTCATGAAGAGGATCATCCCCTGCGCAAGGACAGCGAAACACCTCCCACAGCACCGCTGTCGCAGAGCGCTGCCAATGTGGGAACTCGGCACCGTCGCAAAGGTTTGGAAACTGGCCATCACCTCACACCAGGAGAAGAACATCCTCCAGACAGATGGGTGACAAAGTCACCAGGGTCCTCTGTGGTCTTTCCTCTCCCAGTAATTTCAATGGACCAGCCAGGTTGTCAGGAGACCGGACAAGCAGTGGCCGTTGTCAAAAAAGTTAGTTTGGCTCCACTAGTAGCATCAAACTACTTCCAGAAAAGATGTCCCCAGAACGAGGAGGAGACGGGGCTGGCTCCCAGCTCCTGCCTGCCATAAGCAACTCTTTGTGGGGACCACTTGTTCCTGTTTCCACAAGACAAACACCTTCTTCACTGGCAGCTCCAGAAGACAGAGCTGGTCCCTGCCCGCGTGGGCCAGGAGACCAGGCACCGAGCAGAACATCCTTCTCACTTCAGATGGCACCACCACCTCTCTGGGCACAAAGCTATGAAGGGAAGCAGACCTCCACCATCGCTACTAGCAGAAGGGAAGAGGGATGATCCGAAGGGAACACTGGTGCCAACAGCCCTCAGAAAGGCAGACGGCTAAGGAGAACGAAACGCTGCTGGAGATCCTGAAAGGGACAGAGCAACGCTGCCAGCGCACACGGCCAGCAGCTGCGGGCAACACTTCAACACCCAAACGCAGGCCCTGTGAGGGGAGAGCAGGGTACAGGCTCCCAGGGGCTCCTCCTGGCCAAGCGCTCCAGATGCAATGCCAGTCCTGCTGCTCCCACAAGCGGGACTGGGAAGAACGAGATCCCTCTGCCCCGTGAGTCTGTCCTGCCTGCACACACCAAAACCCAGCTGCGGTACGAGGCAAACAAAAGCTCCTGACCGAGTTCTTTGTCTGGCTTCTTTCCATCTCATCTCCATGCTAAATTCTGTGTTTCCAAACCCTTCCTTGAGATCCTTTTCCCTGTGCCAGTTCCTGCTCTCCTACTTGCGAAGGCAAGCAAGAAACCTTGGCAAGAGCCCCACACCCTCAGGCAGGAAAAGACAGAACACGGCACTACTCTGCCAAGACCTTGTCACTCTCTGGTTCACCCTTCCTCACAGCGTTCAGTCCGTCCACCCCCTCCCAGAGCTGCCCCACGGGGTAAAGCAGCACCAGGAGCAGCGATTCTGGGCTCTTTTGCATCCCTCCTGCTACAACTGCCCGGTCACTGTGCTCACGATCAGATGTGTGTCCTCCTGCGTGGGCAGCAAGCCCATGTGCACCAGAGTGTCTGGGCTGCTCTGCCCAGGTCCTCGTTAGAAACACCAGGAATCAGTGAACCCGTGTTTCTCAGAGACAGTTGGATTTTCTCTGAGGACAAGGGAAGCAGTTCCAGACCCTCATTCCTGAGCCCAAGCAAGAACAGGGAAATGCTTCGCAGTATTTTACCATCACTCACCAGTTCCATGACTTCAGACTTTATTTCTAGAAGTGCTTTTTGTCATGGAAGAGAAATGTGTAAACACCACGGCAAAGATGACTGCAGCAGGTCACTGGGAACTGAAAGGGTTTGTGCTCGAGCCACAGAAGACCCAGGGAACAGACACTAACTCTGATCCTCACTGTGGCACCCAGGTTTGTGGGGCGCAGGAGGGACGCAGTGTCACACGGGCACAGAGCACGCGTGGGGCAGGGAGGACAGAGGGAGGAGGCTCCAGAAGGACAAGGCCTGTCATTACTGCTGACACTGCTACCACCCAGGCCATCAGTCAGTGTTTCTGGCTTAGAAAGGCCTCAGTAAGCTGCAGTTCCCTGTGTGCTGCCCTACTTCCCTCTAACAGCTCCGCTTTCCCACCAGAACTACCGGGTCCCTCTGGCAAAGCCCCAGGAGCCAGCGAGGCACTGAGAGCAAAGGTCCTGTCTGGGAGCCGGGATTCACCTGGACACAGACCCCGTCTGCAAACCAGGCTGAAAGGTTCTCGGCAGGAAGGGAAGGAGGGAGGTTTCTGAGCAAAAGCCTCTACCCAAGCTCCTGACACGCAGTGAGAAATCTCTTCCCATGCCCAAACTTTGCTTCCCCATGGCCAGTCTCAAATCCACCTGTTTTGTTCCAGCACCTTCTTTCCTTGCTGTGTATGTCAGAGGTCAGGCTTGGTCCATTCCAGCTTTCACTTTCCTCAGCTAAACAGGCCCAGTGCTCTCACCTCAGGGTCTCCTTTCCCTCCCACTGGTTTTTTGCTTTTCCTACACCAGTTTCAAGGCACACGAACATCAGTGACTGCAATCAGACCGAGTCTGGTATCCCCACACTCCTCAGAGAGGGAACACGTTTTTATCTTCACTATGAACACGTTGCCTGGCACAAGCGCCACGAGTGCACATTTGTTTGGACCCTTTTCTCATAATCCAGACATCGAAGAAAATATTAAACAATGTTCAGCTCCTCCCTGAGGAATGCTGCCCTGGGCCATCGTCCACCCTGCTCCCACTTTCAGCCTCTCCTTCCCAGCCAGTTTTCGTCTGTTGACCACTAATAAAATCCTGAAATTACCAGATACACTTAAATCTGCATTTTCCCTGGACTTTGCTCCCCAGCTCGGATGCCTCCTATTAAACTTCTCAAAGAGCACCCAGATCCAGCCACGCTGCCGGGCAGAGTACGGCTGCGTACGGTCTGCAAGGAGCTTTCCCCGTTCCCATTTCCCACCTGGTTGATGTGAACAGAAGGAATGGAGGCTGCAGAGACAGACGAATGGCTGGGTGAGTTGGGCAGAGACTTGCAGGGACCGATGGAAAGCTGCTGCTTCTTCCGTAGAGCCACCACCTTCTGAGCCACTGGAAGAAGGGAGAAAGGGACAGGGTCAGAGGCCACAAAGCAACTTTCTCCACCCACAGATTTCTGAAGGGCTTCAGTGAGCCCCAAACCCTTCATCTGGGGCTCAAACTGTGCCACCCTGTAGTAAGGGGGAGGATTTCTGCAGAACACCCAACCTCAGGGACAATGTTTGCTAGTGGCTGCCCCAGCAGGCAACAGGGCAGGCTTCCCATGCTGAGTCCCCAAAGGCCACCTGCTCTCTTGGGTCTCACACAGAGCAGTGACTTGAGATGGGCACCAAGGAGCCACCCAGAGCACTGGGCTGCTGCTGTAGAAGAATCCCTGGGCAGACAGAGTCACTTCTCAGACAGCCCTGTACAGCAGCTACACGAGCCAGTTACCAAACTGAACAGCCTGGGCAATGCCACCTCCATCAGCCTGGCCCTTGTGACCCTCACAGTCTCCAGATATTCAAAAAACTAACATAGGAACAACTCTCCCAGTCCCTGTGACCTCACTGCCTGATGCCAACAGCCCAAAATTGCATTTCAACCTTTCGGATCTCCTACCTTTTCTGGAAATAAACATCATGACCAAAGAGCATGACAGCAAACAGGCTGGGCTGCTGGGGAATTCAGAACACATCACCATTCCCCGTTTCCTCTTGCACACAGGCTGGGCAGCCCCACCACCACAGGAGGAGGAACCTTTTGGATGAACACGACTGAAGGCCTTGGGACCATCACATGTCCCACCCAGCACGCCTCACATCGTGCACCCTCGTGATAAAGGAGCTGCCACATTCTCTTTCCAGGAAGACAGAAGATGCTGCACCATACACATGGTGTGACTGAATCCCTTTGGAAAAGTCAGATGCTGACAGCAACTGCAAAATCCTGCCACCTCACAGCTGCAGTGCCATGTCCCGTGCAGACACAAAGACCTTTCGGGCCACTGCTGCTACCTGCTCGCTGGATAAAGCCTGTCCAGACTCCCAGGCTAAATATTAGTCCCATGAACAGCAGGAACCTCTCCTACATCCACCACACAGACCTTGTTAACCTCCTGTTTTTCCTGCTCTCCTCCCCTCCTCTGGCCACCTTCATCCACCATTCACTGTGTAACCCTCCTCTCCTTCAACATGGGCCAGGCACATCGCACGCTCAGGCACCCGGCTCTGCAACACGCCTGAACCCCACGTCTTGGCCACCCAGCAAAGGCAACAGGAAGGACTGGCAATGCTACAGGGATGGGACATGTCCTCTGCTGACTACCCCAGGACCCACAGGCTCTGGTACACAAGGTTTGACCTCTTGGCAGGTCAAAACTCAACCTGGCTGACACACTGCATGGTGTTCACCAGTCTCCATGGACAACCCAGCCTGGGACGAGACGTGGAAACTGGGCAGGTCTGACACAGGGGAAATTCAAACACCCACATCAGAGGAGCGGTGAAGGAAGAGAGGACTCAGAAATTACCCAGCAGAGGATAAGACAGGGAAGACCCATCCTACCACACGAGCCTGTGGGGCTCATTCTTTGTGCTGCTAAAGTGATAATGAAAACTGCCCAGGCAGAAGTCAGACAGCTCCAGAAACCTTACAAAGAGTCCAAAGCAGACTGGAGAGGGCAGGAGAAGGGAAGTCCTGCATGGCTACAGAGAAAGCCTTCTCACCTCCAGGGCAGAGGGCTTCATGCCACTCAGGACAGCTCTCCAGGGCTTCACTGGAGAAGGCAGATTCAAGGCAGGGGGCTTCTCAATATTCAGAATACAAGTAGGTCCAATTTTAGAGGAAGAGGTAAGGTAAGAATGGTCTCCTGAAATAGGGAGGTTGAGATGATCACCAGTGGGAAAAAGAGAGGAGGCCAGAAAAGATTCAGGAAAACTCATCAGCAATTGCTGTCCTGGGCAAAGAGCCCAGCAAAGGCTCTGCCTTGTCACTCACACACTTGTGGTAACAAGGGAATTTAATCATGAGCCCAGCAAGACCACACTGGTGGTGATAACATCTCATCAACCCTTAACTGAGGCATCTTGAGGCCACCTTCATGTTTCAGCTTGCCAGGCAGAGCTTCCTCCACTTCTTGAACATCAGTCAGACTTTTTCAAGGATATTTCCTGTCATCCTCTAAGCAGCACCTGGGATCATGAGCTTATCATGATTTCTTTGGTTGCTACAGGTAGCTCTGTGATGCCCAAGCAAGGAGCCCTGCCCTGGCGACAGAACCTCTGTCCAGATACATCGCTTGGCATTTGTGCCCAATGTCACATACGGTGCTCCCGTGTGTATCAGCAACTGAGCATCACAGGGTATTTAAAGCACACCACAGCACTCTGGAGAAATCCCTCTACAGACACCACCAGGAATGGTCAGCTCTGGGAGGAGTCACCTGCACAGAGAGGAGGTGCATGTGAAGGTCCCCAGTGATGCACCAAGTACCTTACAGAAAACACCTCAGGGTGGGGTGGGGTGGGATGGCACCTTATGGACTCGCAGAGCCTTGCATACCTCCCTGTGCACAAGCTCTTGGCCTTCCTGTTGAAATGCTCCTACCAAACCACTCCTCAGAAGAATCACTCACTGCCCTGGAAGACATGGTGATGCTGTTGATCACCCCAACAGCCAGGAACAACCCACAGATTCCTGTCACGCAGACTCTTCTCTGAGTCTAAGCAGAAATCCTGTTCCACACACTGTTCCCATGAGGAACAGCTGCCCCATCTCACTGTTCAGTTGCTGTTCCTCTCTCTAACACCCAAAGGTTCTGCTGTGCTTCCTCCTCTCCTCCACAAAAGGCAATCAAAACCCTCTCTGCAGCCTCTCAAGTCCTCTGTAGAGGCCTCATGGCCTCCAGTTGTGGCCAGGGCAGTTGAGATGGGATGTGAGGAAGAATTTCTTTGCTGAAAGGGTTCTGAGGCATTGGAAGGGGTTGCCCAGGGCAGTGGTGGAGTCCCCATCCCTGGAGGGATTGAAGAGTCGTGTAGACACAGTGCTGAGGGACATGGGTTAGTCATAGGGGACTGGTCAGTGTTGAGTTCATGGTTGGACTCAATGATCTCAAAGGGCTTTTCCAGTCCAGGCCATTCTGGGATTCTGTAGGTTTGTACAGGCTGCTGTGCTGCCCAGGCCCCACCACGGGGACACCACCGTCCCTTGCAGCCTCTCTGCTCGCTGGAACAAGCACCCAGAGGACATCCCCTGTGAAAGAGGCAGGAGAAGGGTGCTGCCCGGCCCCGATCTGCCGTCCCTCGTGCACATCCACGTGCATTTCACCTACCTGCCACGCACACTTCCACACCCACAGCACATCCTACTCCCTGGACTCAGTCTATGTGTGTAAAGCAACGGTTCTGCCCGGAATTTGTGCGGGTCTCCCCGGGCTCAGGGCAGCACGCCGCTCTGACCAAGAGCCAGTGGTCTGGGTGCTGTGAGCCCCCTCTCTGGGACAGCACTGCTGCCCTGTCCTGCCTGGACATCCTCCCCCAGCTGCAGTTACCATCCTGGAAGACCCTCTCCACGTTCAGTCCATAGGTGGCACAGGTCTCGTAGTACGTGCAGCGCTTCAAATCATTGGAAAGCTTCCGCGCCCGAGAGTCATCAATGACCCGGGGGTTCGTGGCGCTGATGGCATCTGGAAACCAAAGGGAGAGAGAGGAGGTTGAAAGGCAAGTGCCCGTGTCCCATCTACCCACAGGTCCCAAGACACACTCCCTCCTTCCCTCCACACATCCACACACTGAGATACTTCCACAGTGCACCCCCTGTCCCATAAACACCGCAGGTCACAGCCCCGTGTTTGTGGAAAAATAGATTTTTTAAAGGAACCTTTTTAAATGGACCTTATTCAACTCCAGCTACTGATGCTTCTGAAGACAGAGGGCAGAAACCAGTGGGAGGTGCGGCTGGTGAGGCAAGGCAGCCGGGATGTGAGGAATGGGACACACCGCCACCATTTCGCACAACCACGTCATGAACAGTGCAGCTGCTGAAGACAACAGGACACGGTGACAGCACAGCGAGCACTGGGCAAAGGTGCAGCCTGTCCAACTACAGCCTGACCCTGAGTCCAACTACAGCATGACCTTGGGTCCAACTACAGCCTGATCCTGGGTCCAACTACAGCCTGACCTTGGATCCAACTACAGCCTGACCCTGAGTCCAACTACAGCCTGACCCTGGATCCAACTACAGCCTGATCCTGGGTCCAACTACAGCCTGACCCTGAGTCCAACTACAGCCTGACCCTGGTTCCAACTACAGCCTGACCTCAGGTCCAGCTACAGCCTGACCTCAGGTCCAACTACAGCCTCATCCAGATGAGGACACACGGTGTTTACGTGTCAGAAACTACTAACGCTGACAACTGTCAACGTGTCACTGGTCACAGCTGCTGTAACAAGCGAGTGCACTCGCCTGCAAGCCCAGCTCAGCTGCAGAGTAAAATGGAGTTGCCAGTCTCAATCACTTTGGGTCTCGTGGCCACACTCTACAGATTAAAGAATCCAAAGGGAGAAACCATCCTCAGTTAACTGGGACAGACGGATCTGCCAGGACACACTCACAGTTGAGGCCTTGGTGGACAATGCTAAAAAAAAAGGGCTTAATTTGTATCCCAGATGGCCGCTAAGTGCTCACATGTTTTGGAAAAACTGCCTTCCCAAGAGGAATCCGATTCCTTGAAGACACGCCAGGGACAAGCAGGGGCTGTACACGAACCCTCTCAGAAGGAGCTGAAGGAGTTCTGGGACTGGCTGTGTAAAGAACTCCCCCTCAAACTCTCCAGTGGGTTGTTACGGTGCCTGTACCAAGGCTGTGACCTCCCCTGGCTGTGAGTCTGGGACAGCCATGATCACCGACCCCTCTGCCACACCACCCTTCCCCACCCCTGAGCACGCCCCCGCAACCCCAGCCCAGCCCTGAACCCAGATCACTCACTCCCAGCACTAATTCCACAATCTTTAAATAGCAAAAGTTTAACAACTTTGTTCTACACTTAATCTGAGGCCCAGAGCAGACACCCCTGTGATTCCCCTCCCGCCGTCACCGCCTGTCTTCCCAGCCTCAGAGTTTCTTCTTCACCAGAACAGGTCACACTGATCAGGAACTGGGTCCTGCCAAGACCTTTTTACCCTCATGTCCTCCATCCCCTGCTCCTGCTCTCTGCTGTCACCCTTACATCCAGACAATTTACATCCAGTGCTTGACCAT